TATTACCTTCAGAATGGCAGTGATTGGTGTTAAGACCTGGCTGTGTCATTTACTGTCACTGTGAACCTGAACAAAGCACTTGCCACCTCTCTAATTATCTTTTCTCATATGTGAAATGGAGATAACAGTACCTACCTTATACTCAATTTCACAAAGAATAAAAGTATTTTATTTTATTTTTTTGAGTTGGAGTCTCACTCTGCTGCGTAGCCTCAACCTGCTAGGCTCAGGCGATCCCTCTGCCTCAGCCTTCCAAGCAGCTGGAATCACAGGTATGCACTACCACACCCGGCTAATTTTTGATTTATTGTAGAGATGAGATCTCACCAAGTTGCCCAGATTGGTCTCAAATCCCTGGGCTCAGGCAATCCTCTCGCCTCTGCCTTCCAAAGTGTTGAGATTACAGGCGTGAGCCACTGTGCCTGGCTAAAAAGTATTTTAAAACTATAAAAGTCTTTAAAAAATCATCCATGAAACATGAGTACTAGCATTACTAGTAAATGATGTTTCTGCTTCTGTTAAACTGAATTATAGCTGGGACAACAATTTTAAATATTCACTGACAGAGGAAATGAATGCAGACAGTAAGCAACAATACCACAAAGTCCTTCATCAGCTAATCACATACTTAGATTTGTTTTCTGTAGTAGAACCTCACCAGCTGATGTCCTACACTGATTTCCCAGTTAGATTAGATATATCTTCTATGTAACCCAGTCTGATGTTATCATTCAGGATTCAATCAGAGAAACAGGACGACTGGGAGGTAGATACACACACACACACACACACACACACACGGTCCTCAAATAACAGTGTTTTGTTCAACATTGTTTTATTATTATGCTGATGAGAAAAAAATTAGATTCTGAGCCAGGCCACGGTGTGTGGAGTTTGCATTTCTCCCCATACCTGTGTGGATTTTCTCTGACTTTTCCAGTTTCCTCCCACATCCCAAAGATGTGCAGATGAGGTGAGCTGGCCTGCTTAGATTATCCCCTGCAAGTGGGTATAGGATATACAGGTGAGGCCTGGGATGGAATGGTGCCCTGCCCAGGGGAAGGTCTAGCCTTGGGCCCTTAGCTGCCAGGACAGGTTCCAGTTACCTGCAACCCAGAATTGGCTTAAGAGGGTTGGAAATAAATAAATGGATACAAATTATTGTAAAACGAAGATTCATAAAGTACACAATAATCATACAAATACAAGACAATCAGTGATGTGGTACAAAAGCACTCAGTAAGTCTGCCATATTTGTGATGAGTTTTGAACTGCGAGGGGGTAGGTGGTGCTCCTAACAATTTCTGCTTTGCAAACATTTATTCCTTCATTCAATCCACCCCCCAGCCGGGCTCGGTGGCTCAGCCTGTAATCCCGCGCCTTTGGGAGGCTGAAGTGAGTGGATTGCCTGAGCTCGCGGGTTCGAGACCC